ATTTACAGCCATTCAGGTAGTAATCTGCCTTGTTTTTGCTTCCAAAGTGAATAATTGTCTTCATGTGATCTATAGAAGCCTCCTCTGAAAGAATAGCACAAGCATTAAGAGCTCTGCCACTCTGCTTTTATTTTGGTCTCCTCATCCGCTTAACTATCTTTCTAAAAGAAATAAATGCTCCATATCTCGTAAAATCATACAATGCAGAAGGAATCCTTCAGCCCATTACGTCTGCACTGCCAGTAACCCTATTCTAAACCTACACGAGTCCCATAGCCTTGACTATTATGACATTTCAAGAGCCTGTCCAGGTATTTTTTTTAAAGGTTGTGAGATTCCCTAACCTTAACTACCTTCCCAGATTACCACCATACTGAGTGAGAACATTTCTTCAAAACCCCTCTAAACCACCTGCCTTTCACATTAAAAATTTTGCCCCCTTGTTATTGACCCTTTGATTAAGGGGAACAGCTGCTTTCTACCCACCCTGTTAGTGCCCCTCATAATCTTACACCTCAGTAAGGTCCTCTCTCAGCCATCTCTGCTAAAAGAAAACCACTTGAGCTTTCCAGTCTCTCCTCACAACTGAAATGCTCTATCCCAGGCAACATCCTGGTGAATCTCCTCTATACCCCCTCCAGTGCAATCCCATCCTTCCTATAGTGACTGAAACTGCACACAGTACTCAGGCTATGGCCTCACCCAAGTCCTGTACAGCTCCAAAATAACCTTAGTGCTCTTATAATCTACGCCACAACCGATAAAGGCAAGTGTCCTGTATGTTTTTTTAATTATCCTATTAACCTGTCTTTTTGCAGTGACCTGCAAGACCCCTCTGTTCCTCTGAGCTTTCTAGTGTCCTGCCATTCACCGAATATTCCTTTGTCTTGTTTCTTCCAAAGTGCATCACCTCTCACTTTTCAGGCCAAGTGCCAACTGCTGCAGTCAAAGGCCAATGTCCTCATTTGGGGCCATGAGTTCTGGACATAGGAGGCGCATTGAGTGTGCAGCAAGTATGGCAACAAATGTCTCACTGATGTTTGACTCTCTTCTACAAATAAAATATTCCACCGTCCTCTGCATACTCTTGTTTGCTGACGAGGCAGTTCTCAGCCGTAACATCAGGTAACAAGAAACATTCAGCAGCAGCAGTTTAGCACTTTTATGTGCAACATATCTTTGTAAAAACTACTGCACTGATCTTTTTAGCTTCAAAATGTGTTAAACCATGTGAGAGTCTGAATCCTGTTTTAGTATGCAACGTTTTAGGCCCATTTTCCACTACTTTAATCTTCAAGGTATTTCTGTGAACCCCATTCTTGGTACTTCTGGCATTAATTATTTAAAGGTAGCCATTTATAGTGGAGGTTTGGGTGACTGGGTAATTTGACAAAAAGCTGTGTGGTTAAGAGGTTTGTTAGGATTACTTGTAGTCGAATCCCGTGAATGATACAATTTCAAGTATCTCTGCACAGCACAAGTTTTATGGTTAATGTGTAGAGGTCTTGATTATAACCAGTCCGAGATATGGTGGAATGTAGTGAAGTTCATTGAGTGGTAGCTATTTACACGGAGCGTATTCTTTCTTTACTATATTTCTTCCATTTGAAGAAAACAAAACCTCCGCTTTAAATATGTAACTGAACCTGATGAAGTGCAGTTTTGTGGCAGTGATCTGCAAGATGTTGGGTACAGCCAGCGATTCAGCCTAATCCTCCAGATGGATTAAGTAAATATAAGTACAAGAGAACTTAGTCATTGAGAATTTAAAGCAGCAAAGCATCTTGCAGAATTCATGATAAAAAAGGCAGTATCTAAAGGTGCAGATCAATTATAATTGTCAGTCAATTCCACTAATGTCTGCCTGGACTTTTAATTAGAAATTTGTATTGTTTTACAGATCTTTAAGTCATCACAAAGACTTCAAATCATTTGGACCAGGCCACTCTACATTCCACTATTAGTTTATTTCTTTAAGTTTTGCTCTTATTGTAAAGCAGTCTGGCAATTAGTGTATGACCTCTGGGATGGAAGATAATGTGATGGAACACCCTAAAAGATGTGTGGAATATTTTTCCATCAGTACATTTTTTAAAGTTACTTGTATGTGTATTTTTAACAAAAATAATAATTTTGGATCCAGTGCGCTTTTATGAATTCTGTAGGATGCAGTGCAAAGCATCTTATAAAAACCTAATCATGTAACACTAATGACTGCCATGGTAGATATTCAATCAGTCTGCTATAATCTCATACAAAGTCTGCTCTCAAAAATTAACGAGTTAAGTTACAAACCGCTAATATATATGTTGAAATGAAAGACTTAACAGTGTCCAAATGGTTTATTTTTAATAAATCAGTATCTGAGTGGGCTGTAATGAATAGATGCAGTAAACTTACATATTCTATTTGAACAAATTGTAACCATTTAGCCAAAGGATGGTGCAGATGTAAACATTTTTAATGTTATTTTTTGAGGGAGAAAAAATTTAAAAGTTTTTAAAAATAATTGAGTGTAAATTCAGCTTGAGTGCTACCTGTACCTATTGTGTGAAAAGCTAAGAGAACCTTACAGAATTGTGAAGAGCATTTACTCAGATTAGCACTGGTGCTTTATATGTGGTGGTTATAAATGGCAGGGAAATTTTAACTAACACTATTTTCAGTAAGAACTGATTTTTTTTTTTAGAGCCAAACTAAGTTTCCCATTATAAATGTGATAGTTATTGGTCAGATTTAGCAATAAAACCTTTCAGCTGATATTTTGGCATCTATATATTTGCCTTGTAAATAACCTTCTGCTGAAAATTGACGAACTTAATGTTAACGTGTGGTATGTATATTTTTATTGAAGGCAATGTATTAAGTTTAAAAAGCCATAAAGTTTGAAAGAGTGAGATAATCGGAAAGGAGATGTCAGCTCCAAATTGGGAGAAGTTGCTAATCTGCAGTGTTTGGAAAAGTCTTCTCATTCTGGCCAAGGATATTGGTTTATACAACTGACTTGACAGTCAAAAGTTTACATGTGTACTAACTGACTTTAAGCTAGTAGTTCTCAACTTGTCAAAAGCCATGTTGGCGTAAAGGAATATCTTGCATTTGGATTTGATGTAATTTTATTCTATTGCATAAAGTGCAGGTGCAAACCTGTTTACTGTAACAATGACAATGTGACTTTGGATATGTCATTTGTCAGCAATAAAACTTTATTGAATTACCTATGTGAGACTTTGTTCTTTTCTGTGTAAATGCAGTGAATGTAGTCATGTTCATTGATCATTAAACAGAAGAATAACTTTTTTGGTATTTCTAAAAAGTATTTTCAATCAGTAAAATGCAAGCTCAGCCCCACTACAACCCTGTGTATAGAAGAAAACCTTGCAGAACCTAAAATGCTTTCTCAAATTTATCACCTATGGTTTTGTGCTATTTGACACCATATAATGTTGTTATATAGACCATACCATCACTTTATATTTTACACTTCTGGAGGAACCATCACATTGAATTATACATATCAAATTTAAATTTGAGGCCCAGCCCAGTAACTTGAGTGCTTTCACATAATCTGAAACAAAAACAAATTGCTGGAGAAACACAGCAGCTCTGGCAGCATCCGTGGAGAAAAACAGAGATAACATTTCAAGTCCCGTGACGCTCCTTCATAACTGTTAGTAGCTGGGGAAAGGTGGTATTTATGCTGATGGCGAGTTTGGGAAGCGGGGAGAGGGATGATAGTGTATTGGCATGAAAAGGAGTGAGCGAAGAAATGGAGATGGAACCCAGAGAGAGCCAGTTAGCCAGACAGAAGGATGGTTGAACAAAAACAAAGTTGCTGGAAAAGCTAACTTTGTTTTTGTCCCTGATTTACAGCATCCGCAGTTCTTCCGGTTTTTATTTAAAAGGATGGTTGATATTAAGCCAGGGAAGGAGAAAAGCTGAGTCGGTGAAAATGGGTTGGCTGTGTTGAAAACTGCCCTTGTCATGACTAAGGACTGGGGTGTGGGGGTGGACAAAGGGCATGGGAGGTGGTGTTCAGGTTCTAAAATGATTAAACTCAACATTGAGTCTGGAGGCTGCAGGGCCCCCAAGTGGAAGATGAGATGCTGTTCTTCGAGCTTCTGCTGAGCTTCGCTGGAGCAGTGCAGTAACCCAAATGCTGCCAGACCTGCTGAGTTTCTCCAGCAATCTTTTTATTTCAGATTTCCAGCATCCGCATCTTTGCTTTATTTTAGGTAAAAGAATAGGAAGGGTTTAAAGGGACATGGGCCAAATGCTGACAAATGAGGCTAGATGAATTCAGGATATCTGGTCAGCATGGACAGGTTGCACTGAAGGGTCTGTTTCTATGCTGTACATCTCTATGACTCCAGTGCTTTCACATGATGTTTGCTGATATCCTGGTGTATTAATCAGTCCTGATGATTATACACATTTATCCACCCGCATTCCTTTATCAAGTTTCAAAGAAAACATCCATTGAGCTAACCAGCTTTTAAATGTTTGTGTAACTAAATGTTTCCTATTTCCTAACCTCTTTGTAACCATGAAGCTTTCAGTTCAAATATTACCAGTGTTGTGATCAGCAACTTGAATCATCCTCCTTCGACCTCTGCATCACGGCTACTGTTTTGCTTGCAGAGGGAAATGAATGAGATTTGCCATAACTTTAATTCTTCATATTCCAGAAAAATTGCCCTTGTTTGTATTCTGATAACATTAAAATCTAATGTTAGAAATCATAGTTGTGTGAGAGGTGTCAGCGTACTTTCTTTTTTTAAAAAAAAAAAGCTAATTTGCTTTAAAAACTCAATATAATTAGTTGCACATCACTCCTTACCATCAATGTATAGCTATGACTTGTATGTCAAATGTCAGGACATTTTAGGCCCTAAAATTCCAATTTATTGCATTTCAAAAACACATTATGCAATAACCTGCATTAGCACTGAACTGTAGAATTTCCTTAACCAACGAAATAATTTATTGTAATCTTCCAGACAAAACATCTGACTCTGAAGTAAAGAAGGAAAAGAAAGGTAAGCTCCATCTTGTGTTTAACTGCTTATGGTAACAATTATTTAGCAACGGTTGTTTAGGACATTGTACATTTCAGATGGTCGTGAAGTTGCCAAAGTTGTGGTCTTTGTATTATGTTTTGATTTGATTGGGTGAGACAAAGATTGAATATTGAAACATCAAGTAGAAAGCTGTGCTCAGAATTAACTCTGGATTAACCAGGTTGCACTGAGACCTGCTTGCTGCTCGTAACATCTTTGTCATCATTGAGCTACTTTGCTCACATGGAGGAAGTCTTGGGCTGAAATAGGTTTGTCTCTGTTTCAGTTTGTGTGTACATGTAAACATTAAGTGGACTGCTTTAATCTAAACAGGAAAATTTGTATTTCCTAATTGCCATTTTTGCAATACTTGAGATTTAAAACAGATGTAGGTTGAGTTGTTGATACAATCTGTCATCTTTTTGCAAGCTTAATCGAAATGGAGGTTTAGTCAGTGACGAATGATCAGAGATGGAAAGCTTGCAATCTTCTCTCACTAGATGGCACTGCAAACTAATAAATAACATATGCTGTTTTATGTTTTTGTAAAATTGCATGGTAAGTGTAAACAAAGTCATGGAACTATTGAACAGGCTGATGTATGCTGCCCATGACATTCTGTGAATGCCTTGGACAATAAGCTTAATTTTGAGACTTAAGCCAATTGTGTGAGAGTTATACTTACATGACCAGAAATTTTGCAGAGTTTACTCTTTGCAATTCAGAAACTAATCAGCATAATCAACACAGCTCCACAACTGAAACCCAACCCAACTCTCTTTCCATGACCCCTCACCAAACCTGTTCCAACTACTGAACCACTTCCCCATCTTGACCCACTGCTTCTCCCTCCACTTCTCCTGGCTGAACTTCTCTCTTCCGTCTGCTTCCCACAACTCCCCAATTCACCTCACCTGACCACACCCCCCTCGCTCTACTGAAAGTCTCTATCGTTGCATGTGCTATGCAGTGCCATATTCATTTCCAGCAGCGCACTTTAAGCAAGCCTGTAGATGTTAAGAGAAGGAAGTGGGAATAAATTCTTTGCAGGTCAAGCACGATATCTAACCCACTTATCTTCAGTGCCTTGGTAAAAATGCCAATAGATCGTTGTGTGGAAATCGTTGAGTGGCTTTTTGGATTTTCTATTATTATGTTGGAAGGCAAACTAGTTGCGATAAAAGGTTCCATCAGCATGCAAACTTATTTTAGTGGCTGACCACAGTATGTTTTCCCTTAGTTCTCCCCCTATTTTCTGTAACTGAGGAAGGGTCACCGAACTCAAAACGTTAACTCTGATTTTTCTTCACAGATGTTACCAGACCTGCTGACCTTTTCCAGCAACTTCTGTGTTTGTCCCTGATTTACAACATCCACAGTTCTTTCAGGATTTAGAGGGATATGGGTGAAATGCTGGCAAATGGGACTAGGTCAGATTGGGATGTCTCGTTGACACAGATGAGTTGGACTGAAGGATCTGTTTCCACGCTGTATGACTCTATCCTCCTCCAACATCTCACTCCTATTATTCAACTCTATGGCACTGTCATAGCTTAATTCCACTATTGACTGTCCAGATGTGGTGGAAACAACTTTCCAGTAGCTTCTTTTCCCACCTTGCAGTGTCTCAATGATGCATCATTGGTTTCTTCCTTTCTCATACCTACATGCTCTGCCTTTAGTGATAGTTTCTGCAGCTAACAATTGTACAGAAACTTTACTTCTGCACTGTTTCTCTCAATGCTTTCACCTTCCTTGTTGTCAGACTGCTTGTCCAACATCCAGTTTTAAAAGAGCATGAAAGACCTCAGTTTAACTTCGGAAGAACTGAAGCGATCCTCATTTGTCCTGTCACAATCTCCACAACCTTCAACATTACTTTCTTCTCTGACCCCAGCCATTATTTCAGTTTAAAACAAATCTGCAACCTATTCAACCTGCAGTGAGCCTCTGGCTTTTATCATCTCCATTACAAATGACTGCTGTCATGTCCTAGAACATCTTTCTTCTTAACCACTTCCTTAGCTCATTGGTTGCTGAAATGCTTATCTAAACATAATTGTCTTGTTGTCCTCTGGATGCCTTCCAGTCTTTTACCTTTATTTTCAGTTCAGCTACCATTTTAAGAGTTTGGTTTGCATAAAATCCAATATCAAGTTCAGTTCTAACTGAGTCAGTCAAGTCATCACTAGGTTGGCACCCAGTTTTCTGGACCCTTGGGTTTAGAATTCTCACCTTATGTGTAAATACCTTAGCGGCTTTACTCTTCAATTCCATTTCTTTCTATTATTCTCTCTCCTGCAGCTCTAAATTTTTCTCCCTTTCTTATTCATTCATGTGAAGTGAGTGTTGCTGGTTGAGCATTTATTGCCCATCCCACTTGTCCAGAGGACAGTTAAGGGTCAACCACCTTGCTGAATAGACCTTATAGACCAAATCAGGTAAAGTTGGCAAATCTTCTCCTCTAAAGGACATTTGTATTAGATTTTTACAGTGGTTACATGGTCCCCATTTAGGTCAGCTCTTCCAGTTCCAGATATTATTGAATTTGGGTTTCGTCTGCTATGGTGGGATTTGAATCATGTCCCCAGAACATTTGCCTGGCGTTTTGGATTGCTGGTCCAGTGATATTACCACTGCCCCACTGCCTCCCCTCTCCTTATACCAGCTTCGTGTGTGTTTACTACCTTCCCTTTTATTACATCATTGACTGCTATTTGTTCACTTGTTTATGGCCAGTACTCTGAATTTCTTCCTAAACCCATTACAACATCCCATTCCTCCTTCATCATCAAGATCTTAGTCAACCCTCAATCTCCACTTTTTAATATGGTTGGTTTCTCTTATGCCTCGTAGTTAATTTATAAACATGATTTAACCATAAATGCTTCTTGGGGAGTGGTGTCAAAAATTTGCAAATGCTGTGATATCTGAAGCATGTCTATTGGCTGCTTATATTGAGCACTTAACTTTGCTGCCACTTTTATTTGAAATGTAAGTTTACATGAGTATGCCCTGTGTAAAGTGGTGGACAGAGTAAAGAGTTTTGAGCAATATAATCATAATAGTGCTAAATGTGGAAGACTACACAGTTGTGTAGTACTCCTTTTGTGTTTAAATTTTGAAGGCTACTCAACTGTGTAGTTTAGGATCTTTACAGTTTGAAATGACAAGCGAAGTGGCCCTAATGATTGTTGCAGCTGGTGCTACTACTTGCAATACTGAACACAACTGAAATGAAATAAATCAATGTTGTTGCTCTCTGTACCTTGTGTATTTCACCACCTACAAGAATTCAAACAATTCAAACATGCCAAGATTTTGTTTTACCCCTCACTGTTCTTTCATCTTGAAAGTTGCCTTGCTGCCGATCCCTTGGGTGATGTTACTAAGTTGCCTCCAATCCTTTAGTGTCGAAGTTTGGAGAGTGATGTTCTTGTACTCGCTGTAGCAGATCGCACGGCTAAAATTGGTACACTGATCACAGCGGTCGACTTGGAAGTCTGGGGCTTTTGTCAGGATAAAGAATTGGATTCTGCGGGAGAAATGATGGAACAGGTTCAATAACCTGGAGGCTTTGCATTATATAGTCTTGATATTCGTAATGTGCTGGTTAAATAGAGAAACAGTTTTTCATACAGTCTATGTTCCTTGTGTGTGAGTTTAGATGATAAATATTGACAAGTCACTTGACCACAGTTATTTGATTACCTACCAACTTGTGTATACACCACCTATTCTCTTTCTTTGCAACACAGACCGCTGACTACAGATTCAAGTGAGAACCCTGATTTCATTTTTTGTCTTTCCCTCCCTGGTGTCCCAGTCAGTATTAACAAATTCAACCCTTCCCAAAGAACCTGAATATTTGAAATTCTTCAGTTTAACATCAATGTTTCACCTACTCTACGATCACAGTTGTTCTTTGCCTTTCTAGTTTCCATTATCTAAATTTTGTCCATTCAGATTTTCCTGAAGAAAAATTCCAGCAGCTTTAAATGATGCAGTAATTGTACTTGATATTTATATGGTTGCTTTGCTTAAAGGAGTAGCTTGAGAGTCCTGTATTTTGAATGTTTGAACAGAGATAATGATAAAGACTCCATGTTTATTTTGCTAATTGCTCATCACAGATTTTGTGTTCTAAGAGCTTAAAGCAGTTTGTTTAAGAGCATAAGAACTAGGAGCAGGAGTAGGCCGTCTGGCCCTTCGAGCCTGCTCCGCCATTCAATAAGATCATGGCTGATCTACATTCTACATGAAATAACTGAGCTGTTACAACTTCTGCATTTTTTATAAACATTGTCACTGAATTCTAGATTGAAAGTGGAGAACTGTTGAACTAAATTTTGCAGCAGAAGTTGGGATACAGATGCCAAGGACCCGAGTAGGTCCCATAGCCTGCGGTGTCACAGAATGCTGCCTGCCTTTGTAGTTGTTGCCAGAGGTGGCCAATTGATGGACTACCCCCACAAGCCCTGCCCATTAAGGGCTTGTGTGTGAACTGGGTGATGTGGACGACCAGTTAGAGCACCTGGGGGTGTGGGCAACTAGCATCTCTTCCAGGAAAAGTGAGTCTGAGTGTCCCCACAGTCAGTGAGATCCTTCCCTCACGATGGCCTCAAGCTCCTGCTGTGGCCTGATGAACACCACAACTGCAAGGGGCAGGATGTCAAAAAAGAGGTCGGTGATGTCGAAGGTGGCATCAGTGACTCCCTGCTTCCATTGACTGGGAGCTGCTTTTAACTGTTAAATTCAGAACAGAACAGGAGGCAACCCTGCTGGCTTAGCTAGCTGCCAACCTTGATGGAGAGAGCGTGCAACTTCCTTTCCTGGAATGATGAGTAGTGTAGATAAGGTGAAAGGCAGGTGTCTGTTCCCTGAGGTGAGGGATTTCAAGACTCGGAGGCATATTTTTAAGGTGAGAGGAGGAACTCCTGCTGCAAGATGTAGTTCAACAGTTCTCCACTTTCAATCTA